TTAAGGTCAGCAGTTTGAAACTACCAGCTGTTCCATGGGAGAAAGATGAGGCTTTCTGCTCCCATAAAGATTTACAACCTCGGAAACCCTGTATAGGGTCGCTATGAGTCAGTTCCGACTCCACGGCACATAACCACCACCACCATATCAATATTTTGCCCAAAAGTTTGAGGCTTTTCTTGAAGTTTTTCTTCAACTCCCTCAGAGCTTAAGAAATGCTCAGAGTGTTCTTCTCTTTTAGTTATCTAATTCCAGGTCTTTGTACATTTCGTTACAATATTTGACTTTGTCTTCTTGAGCTGACTTTTCAAATTTTCTGTTCGGCTCTTTTACTTACTCATTTCTTCCATTTGCATTAGCATCTCTATGCTGGAGAGTAAGTTTCAGAGTCTCTTTTGACATCCATTTTGGTCTTTTCCTTCTATCTCATCTTCTTCATGCCCTTTTGTTTTCTTCCTGTATGATGTTCTTGATGTCATCCCACAGCTCTTCTGGTCTTCAGTCTTTAGTGTCTAATGCATTAAATCTGTTCTTCAGATTATCTCTACATTCAGATGGTACAGGTTCAAGGTCACTTGGTTTAATTTTCTTCAGCTTCAGTCTGAACTTGCATATGAGCAATTGATGGTCTGGGCCTTGTTTTGGATGATGATATGGAGTTTTTTCATCATCTCTTTGCATAAATGTAATCAGTTTGATTTCTATGTATTCCGTCTGGTGAGGTCCATGTATATAGTATCTTTTTTGTTGTTTAAAAATGGTATTTGCAATGAACAAGTCATTGGTCTTGCAAAATTCTATCTGGAATCGCCAGTATCTTAAGGCCATATTTTCCAACTACTGATCCTTCCTCTTAGTTTCCAACCTTTGCATTCCAATCACCAGTAATTATCAGCATATCTTGATTGCCTGTTTGATCAATTTCATACTGAAGAAGTTGATAGAGTTCTTCAATTTCATCATTACTGGCTTTAGTGGTTGGTGTGCAAATTACAATAACAGTGGTATTAATGACTACTGGTCTTCCTCGTAGGCATATGGATATTATCCCATCATAGACAAGGTTGTACTTCAAGACAGATCTTAATATGCTCTTTTTGATGATGAATATGCCACCATTCCTCTTCAATTTGTCATTCCTGGCACAGTAAACCTGTGATTGTCAGATTCAAACTGGCCAACAGTCCATTTCAGCTCACTAATGCCTAGGATATCAATATGTATGCATTCCATTTCATTTTTGAAAATTTTCAATTTTCCTAGATTCATACTTCATACATTCCATGTTCTGATTATTAATGGATTATTTACAGCTGTTTCTCATCATTTTGAATTGTGCTCCATTAGCAAATAAAGGTCCGACAGTCTTACTTGAGTCATATCATCATGGTCAACTCTACTTTGAGGAGGCTACTCTTCCCCAATCTTATTTTGAGTTTCTTTTCAGCTTGAGGGGCTCATCTTCCAGCACTATATCTGACAATATTCTAGTGGTCTTCATCATATTTCAATATTTAATGTTCTGGTGCTAACAGTATTCCTGGTGCTAACATTATTCCTCTGCTATTCATAAGGTTTTCAGTGACTAAATATTCAGAAGTAGTCCATCTCTCCTTCTTCCTAGTCTTTCTTGGTCTGGAAGTCAGCTGAAACCTGTCCACCAGGTGACCCTGCTAGTATTTAAAATGCCCGTGGCATTGCCTCCAGAATCATAGCAACTCACAAGCCACCACAGTACGACAAACTGACAGATGAGTGGTGGAAAGAACAGTTACCAGTCCTTTAATATTCTTGTTTATATACCTTTGCCTAATATGGAAGAAAAGAGAGATGGAAAGACCAGGACTTGACTACAGACACTTTCTCAGCCTTACTTTTTTACCTCCCTCTTTTCCTGAACTTATAATAGTGGGCATACATATATCATTAGTCATTTACTCTAAATGAGCAAGTCCATAGCAAGAAAGTGCAACATGGCTGAGAAGCCCTTTGGACTGTATTCACCAGCAGTAAGCCAGCATCTTTTGCTCAGTATTTTGTATCACATTTGTACTTCTTGGCATTTACTTTGTTTTTTGTTTTTCTTCAAATGAGCTTTGCATTATAACTATACCAGAAATTCAATAACTTTGTTCTTAATAAATTTCTTTGCATTTTTCTAACTCCATTTTAAAACACTTGGAAACTGCACTCTTTACCGTTTAGAGATACTCTTTCAAAATCAAATAAAGACATATGAAGACAAAAATTTCAGATTCTCAGCTTCTCATTCTGTGTAGAACTAAGTATGAAGAGCAGGTGGAAAGGCCATTGAAAGAAATGGATGGGTGACCTCTTTCAAACAATGAAAACATTCAAGTCCACAGAAGGATTCAGGATAAAAATAAGGCATTTCATGGCTGAACCCTGGTGGGAAATTGTGTCCTCACTTCTAATAAGACCACATCAAAACAGGGTTAGAGTTTAGGGATTGAAGGACGGGGAAGCAGAGGAGTGGAAGGAAAGATAGAAAGGAGCGATAAAAATGTTCTAAACGTAGCACAATAAGAGCTAGAAAATGATGGTCCTATTTAAATCTACCATTTTTCTCTATGTAATTATAAATTTCATTTTTCATTTGTCTCATCACATCAAAATCAAAATAACCCTTTTTGCCACCAAGTCAACTCCAATTCTTGGTGACTCATGCATTTCAACTTAAACTGTTCCTTAGGGCTTTTGTAGCTACAGACTTAATGGAAGCATATTACTGGGCCTGTCTTCCAGCACCTCTGAGGGTTTGAACTGTCAGTCTTGAGAGTTGTTGTTGTTAAGTGTTGTCAAGTCAGTTTCTACTCAGATTCTGTTTAAGGTTTCTAAGGAACATCTGGTGTTTGAAATACCAACCTTACAGTTCTACACTGGGACTCCAACCTTGAGAGTAGCATAGTGCTCATCATATATGCATTATATATACATTCACCATTATGTTGATAAGTAAATACTCATACATGAATATGTTGGTGTTAAATGCCGCTGAGTCAGTTCTAACTCACAGCAACCTGTGAGCCACCTCACAGGGTTTCCAAGGAGTGACTGGTGACTTTGAACCATCAATCTTGCAGTTCAAACTGACCTTGCAGTCGAGTGCTTATCCTACAGTGCCACACCAATCAATAAACACCTTCCTTTAAAATCTACTATGTAGAAACCTAAATTTATAAAGAGATTATTATATCATTAATTCTTCACTTTGCAAAGAATTTTTCTATGTATAAAGGCCTTTTCTGATGATATTATTAAATTTAAGCAGAAAAACTTTTATTTACCTATCATCCTTTATGGAATGTACTAGTTAACCTGAGCCTTGATTTTTATTGTTAATTACTGTTGGGTTGATTATTATATTAGGCAGCAGAGACTGCTCCATAGGCCTTTCAAGACTTTGACGTTTCAGAAGCAGATGATCACCAGGCCTGTGTTTCAAGGTGCCTCTAAATGAGTTCAAACTACTAAGATCTCAGCTAGTAAGAAATCATCATCATTAAATAGGAGTTCCTGTGATTATCTCATTCTTCCAAGAATCCACATCTCTATATCTTTGTTGTTGTAGTTATGTGCCGTGGATTCGGTTCCAGCTCAAAGCGACCCTGTACAGGATTTCCGAGGCTGTAAATCTTTATGGGAGCAGAAAGCTTCCTCTTTCTCCCATAGAACAGCTGGTAGTTTCAAACTGCTGACCCTGAGGTTAGCAGCCCGATTTGTAACCACTACACTACCAGAGCTCCTTCTCAATATCTTAATCCCCCAAATTTATGAAAAACTTAATTTTCATAGATTAGCAGAGTAACTGTAAAGGTTATGGAGAATCATATCTTTAAAGGGTTGGGAATGACACTAATAAAACTCACAAACTCTCTTTAATAAGGGAATGACTAAAGTGTGGCACTGTAAGATCAGCATTGGATTTCTAACCACAAGGCCAGCAGTTCAAACCCAGTTGTTCTTCGGAAATCCTATATAGGGTTGCTATAAGTTGGAACCGATTTGACAGCACTTATCAACAACAACAATGAACTATTAGGATAAGCATTGGACTACTAACCGCAAGGTCAGTGGCTCAAGCCTATCAGCCGCTCCTTGGAAACCATATACAGGATCACTATGAGTCAGAAGTGACTCAACAGCACCAACAATATGCTATTATAGAGCCCCGCTTGCACTGTTACATTTTGGTTTAAAACTAACCTTTTAGTAGAGACCTTGTCTTAAATTTATTTCTGTATTTCTAATGGCAAACAGTCTGTACTGCATGTGTGTGGGAAATTGATGAGGTTCACTCCCTCTCTGAACCCTGTCAGGATGTGAGGTCATTAGGACACTCTGTGCTCTTGATGACAAAGGACAGTGACTGAAACAAACAGTGGGGGGTAGAGGAGGAGGCATAAAAATGAGAAGCAATAACCTCCATGGCTGAAGGGGTGGTGGTGATGATGAGTTATAAAGAAAATAATACAGCTTACATTAGTCCTTTTATTATTTTCAAAGTGCTTTTTACCGGAGTCTTGTCCTATTTGCTCCTCAAAATCACCCTGTGAAGTAGGAGGCTATTTAATATATAAATTCTATAATTCACAGAGAAAAGGGAAAGTAATGCTTTTACTGTAAAATGTTATGTGCTGCTTACAGGGGGAAATGACCAGGTTAAATTGTTTACACATATAAGAGTGAAGGGTTATACTTATGCAAACAGAAAAACATCTGGCTTAGTTTTCACTAGCTGATTATTTTGAAAGAAAAATGTATAATTCCAGTAATAAAATAAGCATTCAATTGCCAGGTGAACTTAGATATGTGTTCTCTCTCTCCCAAAACAAATCCATCCCCAGACAGGTTTAAAATGCAAAGCTACTGGGTAAAAATTCTCCACCCAAAGCTCAACAACAACAAAATACATTTACTCAGTTAAATGGGTTTTAGACGTGTTATTTCCAACACATAAGCTCTGGCAAACAACTTACTTTAAAAGTCTCCACCACCTCTTTTGATCCTCCTTCTCCGGTACATTCTGCAGAACATAGGTGATTGCAGTCCTTAAAGAAGAAATAAATCTCCATTAAGTAAAAGCAGGTGGGTACTTGGGGCTTGGGATAATCATATGACTCACCATTACACAGAGCGCTCTCCTCTAGTACACAAGCAAACAGGAAAAAGAGGATCAGGAAGATCCCGAGGCTCAGACGATCAATTAGGCAAGAACGCCATACAGCACTTCCCCAAGTGTTGCCCTTTCTACCCTGTCTGAGGAGGTGGCTTTTTGTCCTCCAGCACTTGCTAAGAGCCGACTGGTTAATATCCATGTTAGCCCTACAGAGACATAGTTCACCAGCAAAGAACAAAAAGACAATTGTCTCATTTATGCCCAAGTAAATAGTCGAGACTACGGTTTTAAGCCATTTATAGAAAAATCTCTTGGGCGCGCTCAGCCTCGTGGTCTTGTCAATCACTGGCGCACAATGGCAAGCTTGGAAAAAGGATGGAGTATGAACCATTTTCTCCACATGCAGGGTTCACCTATTTAGACACATCGAAGACATGATGACATAACCTGATGAATCAGAAAGTAACTTAAAAGATAGAGAAGGACACAATGACACAACAGACGGTGGATAAACTGATAAACGTTGCAGACATTTGAAAAACAAAACAACGAATCGGCTAGATAATTACAGGACGAAGGGAAAAAAGGGAATCAAGGCAGCAGAAGGCTGCAGTCAAAATATTATGGGGATGTCTAAGGCACAGTGGATGTGGCTGTGGTAGTTTTAGCAGCCCAGAGACCCAGAGATTCAGCTCCCACCTCCTCCCCTCGAGCAGCTTCCATGGCGACCCTCATGTTCTCCTGAGCCGGGCACCCCGCGGCGTGTTCACAGGCGATGTCTCTAGATTTGGGGTAAGGTTAGGGGGACCTTCTGAAGGGATTGGAGGGGAAACGGAGGTGGGAGACGAAGCAGTAGGGTACGGCAGCAATGCGCACTGCCGGGCCCGTACACTTTGAAGACAGGATTCTAATCCTCTCCCTCCCGCAAACGCCTCGGTCGGGGTACCTGACTGGGAAAAGCTGCGGCGGCGTCCGGCATGCTGGCCATGGGGAAGCTCCCGGCACGTTGGGCTGCAGAGAGCGGCGGCCACAAGCAGCTCGCAGCTGGATGCGAAAGCTGGATGCGCGGCCAAGTCCCTGCACACAGCCAGCGCGACGCGGGATGCCACAGCCCGGAGCTCTGCGCCAGAGCCAGGAGCAGGGAACCACGGAGCCTCACCAACATCCCGGGGGAGGAGCCTTCAATGGTCTAGTCCTTCTATTTCTTCGACCGAGTAAACCAAAGCCTATTCCCTGCCACTGGGTTTCATCCTGGGGCCCAAGAATGCACACGCAAGACAGCGCTTTTCCAAGTGTAGGCATATATGGAGCATCATTATTTACCAAATAAGCTCTAGGTGAGTCCGGAAGCGTCCCTTTGACAGGATGAAAGAACCCTCAGGGAAATTCTTTAGCATTAAGCAGCTTTCCCATTGATCCCATCTACCAATAAAAAGCAGTTTCTGCCCTTGGGAGTTCGCAGCTTGGGTTGGTATTTGTGTATAGGCTCTGGTTGACCACCCACTTTCACATGCAAAGTAAACATGCAGAACGTGAATCCAACTTTAAGATTTCCTTGCATCACGTACACACGTGGGAGCTCGGGTTTGTATCTTGCGGTGTTGGGGGCAACCAGGTTCACATACTCTAACAGCTCTCTGTCACGGAGATCCATACATTCGTTGTTCTCAGGCAAAATTGTTGTTGTTGTTATGTGCCATGGAGTAGGTTCCGACTCATGGTGACCCTGTACAGGGCTTCCGAGGCTGTAAATCTTTATGGAAGCAGAAAGCCTCATCTTTCTCTGGCTGGTAGTTTCGAACCGCTGACACTCAGCTTCAGCTTCGCAGCCCGATTCGTAACCACTATGCTAAACAGACCGACCACAAAAGAAATCCCATTCGTACTTTGTTGGTGGTTTTCTGATGTAGGCCCGTGATCACAATATTTAGAGAAAAAACTGGGAAAGAGAAATGGCACTAGGTTTAGACAGGGGAAAGAGGATTGAACAGCCATTGCCTGCTATGTCGTGATCTCCCAGGGCAACAGAGTAAATTATGTACCTTCGTGACTTCTAAATTAATACAAAGTGATGACTCCTCTTGACTTAACCTTGGAAAGGGGAAACGGCAGTTTCTTCTAGGCTGTTATTAAATTCTGACTCATAGGGACCCTGTATAGGATTTCCGAGAAGCGATTGGTGGGTTTGAACCACTGACCTTGTGGTTAGTAGTCAAGTGCTTATCTTACACCGGCATACCAGGGTGAGAGCTTTGGGGTAAGAACTGGGTAAATCCTGTTTTGTTTTACAATTGATTTCATGCACCCTAAAGGCACAACCACAAAAACTCTTAATTAATCCTTTTGATTCAAAAAGAAAACAAAGAACAGTAACAAAAACTACACTCCTCCCTTTCCTCTCCCCCTTGTTGTTGTTGTGAAGTGCCTGCCAGTCGGTTCCCACTCATAGTGAGCCTGTATAGGTTTTCCACAAGGTTTCCGAGGAACAGCTAATGAACTTGAACTGCCAACCTTGCAATCCAAACAGCTTTACAATCTGGCGCATTAACCCACAGTGCTACGCCACACCAGGACTCCTCCTCTCCCTCTTGTACAAGGATAAATGAAAAAGTTGTTAAGTGCTGTTGAGTTGGTTCCGACCCACAGCGACCCTGTATAGGGTTTCCGATTGCTAGAAAATCATGTTGTTGTTGATAAGTGCCATCGAGTTGGTTCTGACCCATAGTGACCCAGTATAGGGTTTCCAAGGAGCAGTTAGTGAGCTTGAACCACCTACCTTGAGGTTCAAACAGACTTCACAGTCCAGCGAATTAACCCACAGTGCCACACTAGGACGCCATAAAATCATAAAAAGCTTTATTAAACAAAAATATCAAAAGGTGACTCTATTGTTTCTTGACATATCCTCCTATTTAGACCTCTACTTACCACTCATCTATCTGTCACTTTGTCATACTGTGGTGGCTTGTGTGTTGTTGTGATGCTGGAAGTTAATGCCACCGGTATTTTAAATATTTTTAATATTTAAAATATGACTCTTCTACTCATGGACTCCGGAGTCCTGGTGTGATACTGAGGGTTTTCTGTACTGCAAAGTCATTTGAACTGCAAGGTTGGTGGTTCAAGTTCATCAGCCGCTCCTCAGAAACCCTATACCGGGTCATTATGGGTCAGAACTGACTAAATGGCACTTATCAACACAGCAACTTCTACCCATAGTCTTTGTAACCCCTACCAAATGGATAAGAGAAGTTGGGGCAAGATGTGGACAAAATGATAGGATCCAGTTGTTAGCGATTGTGAACAGGGTTAATTGAGAAAACCTGGAACTCTACCATGGCTATGAACGAGCCATCTCAGAAGCTGAAGGAAGAATTTCACTACCATCAAAGCAGCAGAGCCAGGAGGATAGCACGTCCTTTGGACCCTGTGCATTGACCCTTCTCCACCTAGGGACATAACGTTATGACACCAGAGGAAAGGCAGAGAAGCACCAACAGAACCAAGACCCAGAGTATGAGACAGCAGCAGACTCTCCAGCCCAGGGAGCAAGTAAATCTGAGTGACTTTGGGCAGGAGGACTGCTTGCAGAACGGGGTGCCTCCAATTGGAGGAACAAGGTTTGTTGACCCACTGAGCTATATCATTCAGTTTGAGGCTTATGTTGGAGTGGTGTGCTTTGTGGACATTTATCAGCAGCCCTAAAGAGTTTTGTAACATTACCTGAGCAGGCCAGAGACCAGACCAATAGCCTGAGGGCCAGCGAAAGCCCTGCCGTTGGACACAGCAGAGAAGAAGCTGTCCTTACCAAAAACCTCTATCTTGAGAATTCTGACCCTGAACTGGAACCCATCAACTTTTCTAATAGATACCATAACTGTTGAGTATGGTCACTAAGATTGGTATGGCCATTGCAATAAATGATGGAATCCAGATGAGTAGAAAGCACTGTGACAGGGAAGGTTGGTGCCATTTTTTTGTAGGCACTCATGGTGGACAGCTTTCAGTACAATTCCACAATAAGACAGACAAGTAAGAAGGAGAGGCAGACCACTTCTGAAAGGTTGGCCATTGAAAATTTTATGAATAATAGAGCATCATCTGCTGCAATGCTTTGAGATAAGCACCACAGATTGGAAAGTACTCAAAATACAATTGGGGAAGAGCTGCTTCCTCAAACTAGTGTTGACCTTGTTGTTGTTAAGTGCTCTCCAGTAGGTTCCGACCCATAGCAACCCTTTATATGGTTTCCGAGGAGCAGCTAGTGAGCTTGAACCACCGACCTTGCAGTTCAAATGGCTTTGCAGTCTGGCGCATTAACCCACAGCACCACACCAGGACTCCGAGTTGACCTTAGTGACTATTATATTAAAGCTCCATCCTAAGCATTACTGAGCTGAAATGATTTACTATGTCAGGAACAAAAAAATGAAAAGGGATGTCATATTCATTGTTAAAAATTTCACTTCAAGATCTATCACCTATCTGTGATAGGATAATATCCATACCCCTAAAAGAAAGACCAATTAATACCAATATTATGTAAATGTACATACCAATCACTAAAAACAAAGATGATAAAATTGAAGAATTCTACCAACTTCTTCAGTCTGAAATTGATCAAACATGCAATGAAGATGCATTGATAATTATTGGTGACTGGAATGTGAAAGTTGGAAAAAAAGAGGATGGATCAGTAATTGGGGAATATGGCCTTGGTAAGAAGACCAGAGAAAAGATTGAAGATGTTGAGACTTCATTTTGCTTACATCCACAATAAACACTCATGAATGTAGCAATTAAGAAATCAAATAGTATACTGCATCAAGCAAATCTGCTGCACAAGACCTCTTTGAAGTGTTCAAGAGCAAACATATCACTTTGAGGACTAAGGTGCCCCTGACTCATGTCATATTTTCAATCATCTCTTATGCATGTGAAAACTGCACAATGAATAATGAAGACCATTTGAATTATGGTGTTGGAGAAGAATGTTCAAAGTACCATGAGTTGCCAGAAGAACATAGCTAGACTTGGTTTCTGAGTCTTTAAACACATTGTCAGGAGGGACCAGTCCCTGGAGACAGACATCATACTTAATAAAGAGGAGGGTTAGTGAAAAAGAAGGGAAATCAGTCAGATTCCTTTACACTAATAAAGACAGCTTTGAAAAGGAAGTCATGAAAACAATACCATTTA